GGGAAAGCCTGCTGTTAGGGACTTCTCCAGGGTACTGAAGAGCAACATTTTCACTCTGAAGACTTAGGTGCGTCTGATACAGGCTATGGTCTTTGCAATCACTTTTTATGCATTGGAGAGTTGGACAATGACGAGGGAGGATAGAAGGAGAATTGATACCTTTGAGCTGTGGTGTTGGAGAAGAGTATTGAATGTACCATGGACTGCTAGGAAAACAAACAGATCCTGGAAAGGGTTAAACCAGGCTGCTTCTTGGAGGCAAGAATTCTGGAGTTCAGTCTGACATACTTTGGACATGTTGTCAGGAGGGAGAGGGACATCATGCTTGGGAGGGTCGAGGGACGGCGCAGGAGAAGAACCTCTATGAGGTGGGTTGATTCAGTGACTGGGGTAATCAGGATGGGTGTGTCAGAGTCAGTGTGATTGGCACAGGATATTGCAGGGTTTAGGGCTGTTGTACATAGGGTCCGCTATGAGTCAGAAGCAACTCAATGGCACATAAAATCAACAAATGTTTAGCAAATTATTGAAGAATTTTCCTTTTACTGGATTCATTACAGCTTATTTTGACTGCTAGGTGAAGAGATTGTGGGAGTTTGAAGACAAAAGTCAAAGCAGGAAGATTACTTAAGAAGCCGTTGGTAAGGAATGGAAGATTAGACTATAATGGTGGTAGGAAAGGTAAAGAGAAATGAAGATTTGGAATATATGTGGGATAGAATTACAGAATTTATTAATGGATATGATCTGGAAGATTAGAAAAAGAGAAGATCATTGATAGCTCTTAGATATCTGGTGTAAGGAAATGAGTCTACAGTTTTGACTTTTCTGAAATGGGAAAGATTCAAGGCTGAACTGGATTTGCAGGAAGGAATAGGGAGGTAAATTAGAACGATGCTTGGATCTTACTGAATAGCCTTACTGAATAGCTTGATATAGATGTCTGCACATAATATAGACTTGCATTTTTAGAGGGGAATTGAACTGGAAATTCATTTTTGGAAGTCATCAGCATGAAGAGTGTATGTATGAGGTAAAGATAAAGGGATTAAATGTTAAATTTTAGAAGCAATCTGAGTAAGGTATATGAAGATGGCACAGGATAGGACAGGGTTCAAATCTGTTGTTCATAGTGTCACTATGAGTTGTACTCGACTCGATGACATCATGCAACATAACAACAAGATTCCATTGTCTTTAGAAATTTGGCTGAAGGAGGTGGGGAGGAAAGAAAAATATGCAACAGTGAAAGAATACATAAAAAAAAGAAATTCTTTTAAAAATGAAAGAAATTGGACTGAAGAGGTAAAGGCTGGCAGAGGAGGCCATAAAGAAACACCTAGCAAGAAAGAATGAAAACTAGGAAAAAGTAGTGTCTTAGAAGTAGAGAGAAGAATGTTTGTTCAGCAGTAGTCAGATGTGTCTGATACCATTGAGATGCCATGTAATATGTTGTTGCTATTGTTGTTATGTGCCATCGAGATGCTTGCAACTCATAGCAACCCTATGTACAACAGCCCTGAAATCTGCTCTAGCCTTTGCCAACTTTACTGTTTCTGACACAACTACGATCATTACCGCAGTCATTGAATCAATCCATCTC